ATTCGTCACTGCTATCCCATTCACCAAGTACACTAAATATGCAGGAACAATAGGAAGAACAAGTTACTCCGTGCTGCTGCTAAAGTACTATAATTTTATTGCAACCGTCGATGGTTTATTTTTTACTTGAAGCGCTCAAATTGCAAATTATATGGCTATTTAAGTATTATTATTTTCATTTTGGTTCTCCATAATTTAAACTTCGACGTTCTTATTGTGGACAGTACTCAACAGCGAAAATGCGGAAGTTCACGATAAGGAAATGCCATATTTTCATGAACTGTAACAGTAATTATGACAGCCTATCGCCAACCTTGATATGATTAGCCAATGAGACTATGGTAACCAAGATCGATCAATTTTAAGGCATTTCTGTCTAGGTCTAAAATATTTTGATCGATCGTAAACCCGGAGGGTAGGATCAGTGGTGTGCACCTCTGTGTGTGCGAAGAGGTGGGTGTCCATTGCAAACTCAAAGGGTAGTATATTAAAATTTTTTGATCATTCCGTTTTCCCTTTGTTAAGATGATGACCATCTTAAGCAAACAATACCTGGATATGGAAAGACAGGAACATTCTTCCAGTTACGTAGGTAATCCACATCCGGATAATCCAGCGTAATTGGATTTACCTAACTTACATTAATTTACAGTCATTTCACTAAACAGAGGAGACTTCTACATTATTTCTTTCATTTCCAAGTTTACTGAAAACACCAGAATTGTGTGAAAAATCTGCTATTATCTTTGAGCTGCTGATGACAAACCATTGGTAACTTCGTTCTCCCTGAATCAATGTGCAGGAAGATAAAGAGCAGTTTAATAAAATTCCGTTCATGACAGCGTTGTTGAACACTTCACTGTGTCAGTTTGGTAGATGCTGAATGATTGCTCTGATGCTTTCATACTAAATGGGGCTGTAGTCAGTTAGCAAGTTTCATAGCAACAAGTAGATACTAAACATGAGTTAGGTTTCGACCTTGCGTACTTAAGAATGGTGACTCAAATTCAGAGGGGATGAAAGTATTTACAATATGCCATTGAATTACTGCAGCAGCGAATTTATTTCTCTTTTTCGTCTAGCAATCAGTGATCACCATGTGGGTGACATTCGCTGTTGCCAGTAACAACGAATGGGAGAGTCGAAGAAGAGGTCTCCATCATCTTCCTCAAGCTCACCTTTAAAAGGATTCGTGAGAAGTGAACGAACGTTTTGTGACTTTTTACTGTAGTTAATATGAATGAAAAACTTATCCAAGGCCAATTTCACGGCGTGTAGCATTGCCTGTTCCTAAAATCTGCAATCCAATATCATTCAAGTAGTCCATGCCGCGACACCATAGTGCTTAAGCCCCTGCAATGTCAGATGAATTTCGCATAATCTTTTCGCTAGAACAATCTGTTACTCGTCATGAACGATGCTTCAGAAGCCAGTCCTCCTTTCGTGCCACTCTATAGGCATCAAAAGTTTAATTATTGCGCAAACGGATGTTATCAGTCGAATAAATTCTTCAGAGTAGTATGCCGCAGCATATAATGACTAACAGCTCCTGAAACACCTGTTGCAATGATCATGAAATTGTTCTGGGAAACAAAATAATGCGATATGTATGCAACAGTGAACTTTCAAGAAAATAACGGAGACATTGCCTGCTTAAGTTACCTATTCAGAATCTTCGAGCAACTAGGCAGTAATTTATGCCATGAAATTAGGTTCTGGTAGTTATTTGCCTCTCAACAAAGCTGGAATGTGAATGAATGTTTCTCTGTTTTTTCGATAAATAAATAATCTAGTATTGCCATATAGTGTGTCGTGTTTTGTGTTAATTAAGTCGTGTTCTTTTGCATTTTCAGTAAAATTGCTAATACACGTCAAAACAATTCAAATTACCGATGAATATGAATTCTGCACTGCTGTTCACACTGGAACATTTTAGTTTAATTTAAAAAATGGAAAATTTATATTGATGCTATGTCGTGGAAGATGATGTTGAAACCGAGTGGCAGCTATTTAAGAGAAGCCTACTCGACGCTGCCGCCGAATGCTGCGGATAT